AAACCCGAATTCTAGCGTTGTAAGTCCGCAGACATACCGCTGTGCCACTGGGGTGTTTGTTCGTGAGAGTTGAAGAATGGGGTAGTTTGAGTTCTTAAAAACAGCCTTATTAGCAAGTGTGTGTGGATTACCCTTCTAGATCAGTTGGTAGAGCACTCATCTGCTGTGCGAGAGATTTCGGCTACGAATTTTCATCGAAGAAACAGAAATAATAGTAATAATTAAATTACCACACCGTCAGTATCGTTAACGCTCAATCGATATACGAGAACAAGAGATACAGAAAGACGAAAAAAATTACAAAGTATAAAAAGAGGTACTTGATTTGAATTTTTATTTCGAAGCTAAAAGAGAAAGGTATCTTGAGGGAGCGGTCTTTTTTCTTAGGAAAGGTCAGCTGGGCTAATTTTGAAAATCGCCCGCACAGAAAGTGAACCACACCATTTCTCTATACTTTAGTCCTGTGTACAGAAAAAATACTCCTCCCCCCTAAAAATAGGTAATTAACAATCGTATACTGAAGCTAACTAAATTAATTTTATAAAAGAAATTATCTCATAGCAGTTAATCTGTCTACATGGATGTTTTATTTTTTTTTACTGATAGCACTCTACACAAAAATGTCTTTATTCCGGGTGCAATGAATTAACCGGATGACAAAAGATATTGGCATAACACTGAACTTGGAAATATGCATTTTCCAAGCTCAGCATTTTATAGTCCTATTTCACAGATTACAATCATAACTATAACCATTGGACATACATTTCCATAACATTAACTGAGTACTATGTCTACCATGCGAAGTATAGCCACAACTGACATATCTGAATATTTTTCTAACTTCATTTACTTACAAATAAACAATATGAAGATTAAATTCCTAAAGGTGTCACATACAAAGTGATAAATGATGTATAAATGATTTTAAATCAATCGAATTTTTCTAACCAACTCAAATAATTACCAAGAAGAAGTCCTACTAATTTGATACGAGTTATATTCCAAGTCAGACTGTTTCTCCAAGATCCTTCCCCAAAATAAACATTTGTTTTTAATTAATGAAACTTCAAATCTGGTTTAAGATTGAAAAGCAGTAGTTTCACGGTTAATAATTGACACTACTATATCTTGTCTGATAATAACACCAGTATCATCAGCGTAAGCTGTAATAGAAAGCTGTTTAAAATGAGAGAAACTATGATTATGTCTCATAATATAAACAGAAGAAAGCCTAATATAAAAAGGTTTTATTGTTGAAATGAAGGGTAAGCCACTGAGAAGTTCACTTTAATGCAATAAAACGTAGTTTTATTCATAAGAATGTAGTGTAC